GGACCCTGTTGGCAAGAAGACCATACATTAATGGTTACCATGCAAATTCAGGGGACCAAGGCTGGGATACAATGACGTCACCCCCTAGTGGCATTCAGTACAGAGAAATGCACGATTGAAATGAGATGATCTGACCTCTGCCAAGTTTTTTGAAACAAAGATAATGTCTGACCTTTCCCCCAAGGCTCCAGACCAGTTTAAATGACTATCCATTCAGGCCACCAGGACACTCGCAGATGTTATGAAATATCTCCCAATTTTGGAGGGAGTGTCTCTTCAAAATTTGAAGGTATTGCTACCGTCTCTTACCTTCTGCCCAGGCAGAAAAATAGAGTATGCTTCTCAAGAGAGGCAAATCTGAGTTTGTATCTGGCCCTGCTCATTATTACCTATATGACCTCCATTCAGAATCTTGGTCTCCTTAAGCCTCATTTTACTTATTTACAAAATGAAGGCTAGTATATAAATTAATAATGAAAATAATAAAAACTCCCAATTACCTGTCTTGTTGTGTTCTAACTGCTATCATATACACAATTTTATTTCAATTAGACAAGCTTGTAAGTTAGGTAATGCTAACATCTCTATTTTACTCATGAAGACACAGAGGCTCAGAGACATTAACTAACCTGCCCAAGGCAACACAGCTAGCAAGTTGGGAAGCTAGAATTCAATCCAGTCAATACTTTTCTCTGAGGATTAATGTGCTATAAGATATGTAAAGTGTCAAGGTAGTGCTGACATCGTAGGTGCTCAATAAACGTGTGTCCCTTTATCCTCTAAGAAAGTGACGAATGACTGTTGTTCAGGAAACTCATGAATTGGAGAGAGAAAGAGGCATTTGAGGCATTCCACAACAAGACGCCAGACGACAACGAAACTCCAGCTCCCGCCCGTGTTCATCACGTCTGTGCTCTCTGACTCTGTAACCAAATCCCTTTTCATCTCCGTCTTCTGAAGAGTGCCCCTAGCCCGCTCCTATCGAGAGTTGATAACTGGCGTAGAAACAGTACCCACCTGCCACCTTCCCCACTTCCCGGCCCTGGGTCCTCAACACCCTCTCCACGTGACTCTCAGTGGTTTGGGATTTCGCATGTCATGGACTCCAGAGGGATGACAGTAACGGCTACACTTTGGTGCGCGCTTATGTATGCCAGCGACCGTGCTCCGCTATTGAGCTGTCACTCACTGAAGCCTCAGAACCACACCTGGAGATGTGCCACTGTTGTCCTGTGTTAAGAAGAAACCGAGGCTCAGATCGTCGGAACCTGCCCAAAGTCATGCACCATCAGTAATAGATTGAGCCTGGATGAAACCCATGCCCATCTAAGGACAAAGCCCGAGCTCCTAACCACAGAAAACATCTCAATTTATAGGTGGTAAAACTCAAGCCAGAAGGGGCAGGGACATGCTCAGAGTCAGACAGCAAGTTATTAAGGATACGGGGGGGAGGGTATTTGTCCAGACCGGTGTGCTCAATGGTTAGAGCAATGACCTACGCACAGAAGGGTCTTGGGTTCGATTCCCAGTCAAGGGCACGTACCTGGATTGCAGGTTCCATCTCCAGCCCTTGTTGAGGTGGGTGTGAGAGGCAACCAATTGATATGTCTCTCTCACATTGATGTTTCTCTCTCATTCCTCCCTCCCTTCCACTCTCTGTAAAAAACAATGGAAAAAAATATCCTCAGGTGAAGATTAAAAAAAAAAAAAGGATTGTGGAGGAAAGGACACACTTTCTGGCATCTTCTTAAACACTCTCCATCACACTCCAGCCTGAGCGACTCTCGCCGAGTCCCGATCCCACCCTTCATCCACTCTGTGCTTTGCGCTGTCTCGGTAAATGCCATTACTGGAGACATAGTGGCAAGGTTCTCTAGGTTTATACAATGTGAAGGGACTCCCACAGCTGCAGTGTGATTCACCACCACAGTCTAGAAACACAACCCTTTAAGCTTACATTTTTTTCCAACACATAGACATGAACCAAAAAAGAAACACACACACACACACACACACACACACAAAACCACCACCTTGCTATGAATCAGGAAAATAGTGGTACTTTAACATTAATCCTTTCGCTCCTTGCAAGAAATAGGATAAACATCTAGACTTTGTTCAACACTGTCACAGCAGTGGGTGAAGCATTAGAGGAGCAGTGAGATTCGGGGGCTGAAAGAGCCCAGCGGGATGGTGTAGCATGGATGCTATAAAAAACGCAAAGCTTCAAATTCTTCCAAAGACGGGAATTCAATGAATTTGTTGGACAGCTCCAGCACACAAAAACCTGAGTAGGCATGAGAAAGAAAATGACCCATAAGAATTGGTTCCTGTCCTCCAGGAGCCCCAAATCTGGCAGGGAAGCTCAGAAAGGGCAAGATTAACGGACCCCCTGGAAAAGCCTGGCAAAGTCTCCTCAGAGAAGGACAACTGAAGTGCTTCGGGGCCTGGAATAGGTCCCAAACCGCATGCTGTCCCGGAGGCTGGCAAAGACTTCAAGAAGAAGGTGGCGTTTGAGATGGACTTTGTAAGAGACGCTGAGAGATGTATGTCCAGTGGACAGAAGGCAGGGCCCATAGACTGAAGGCGAAAAGGCAAAGAGAAAGTGCATAGTGTTTGCTCTGCAGGGATAAAGGGGAAAAACTGGAGGCAAAGCTGTGAACAGCAGACTTAGAACTACGCAAAGCCCAGAATTTGATAGGCAAGGAATAACCTGGTAGGGGTTTCCATCAAGAAATGGCATGTGCATAGTGGGTTTCACAGCCTAAAGGCTCAGTCCGGATGAAAGGTCACATCCATTGCAGAAGGATGACGTCAGGAAGGACGGAGATAAGGAAATGCATTACATAACCAGATTGAATTTCCCTTTATGTCTGATAAAATGAATACTTTTAATAGAAAACCACTCTCTGGTCAAGAATTAATTGGTGTTTACTTCTAATTAGATGCTATTTGGAATTACTTATTGAAAACCGATGAAGGACCACTGTGGAAATGCATCTTTGTTTAGAGGCAGCCAATAATGCACAAAGAAGGGAGGAAAAGGGGGAAAGATCTGCAAGAGAATCCATCTGTTTCGAGGGCGGTTCTTGCTGCTAAAGATAATGAGCCTCAGGTGAATCGAGTTCCCTCAGCAAGTGATGTGTAGGGGAGAGAGGCTGGGCTTGGTGGGACCCGGGTTCCATTTCCAGCTCCAAGTAATCTGTGTCCTTGGGGAAATGCCAGGTCACTGCTCTGGTGTGCAGCTCAGTTGCTTCATCTATACAATGGAAAAATACTTACCCCTGGAGTTTCACATAAAATGCTCCCCACCAAACCTGGCACATAGGAAGTAACTGTCAATAGTATGTAACGCTACTGAATTATCAGCTTTACTTACTTCTTTGATGCCACCTTCTACCACTTTCCCCGCATCCACCGAGCACCAGCCACACATGCCCAGCTCATTCCCCCTCCCCCCCAGGGTCTTGTGTTTTCTGGTCCCTTTGAATAACATTATGTTCCTCCCATCAATGCATGGCTGACTACTCGCCAGCACCCTGTCCCCGGTCACAGGGCTGAGCCCATTCCATGCAGCATTCCCTGACTACCCCACATAGGAAACACACCGCAGCCCCATCCCCATCTGTCATGTTCTGTATAGCCCTGGTGAGCATCTAAACTTACAGCATTCACATATGTACATCTCCTTGTTTATTTTCTGGTTCCCAACGAGAGAGAGAGAGCAGACACCTTGTCAGTATTATTATTTAATCTTGGACACACAGATGTCCAAAATACAAAAACCTGTGAACATTGGAGTGCTGATGGTAAAATTAAACTATGTAACAAATAAAACCTACTCGGCACACAGCCAATACTAAATCAATGCTAGGTTCTTGCCCTGGGATGGGTTGGGAGAATGGCTGTTCCAAAGTGAAGGAAGACAATTTGGAAAGAAAGCAAGAACGGAGACAGTGGCCCTAGGCTGGGTGGTGACTGCCCGAGGTCTAGTTCTCTGCCTGGAAACAGCAGAAGGGGGCAGCTGGGCAAGGGGGAGTGAAGGCTCAGACTCATTCTGCGATGGAAGTTTCAGGAAAGTAGGCGTTTCTTTTTTGTAGGAGGAAGAGGTTTTGTAAATCAGTGGACAATTGTGATTCTGAGGACATGCCTCTGGATAAATAACTCAGAGCCCTTGTGAATTTTTTAGAAAAAACTGAGGAGGAGGGAAAACGAATCACCACTTCTAGAGAAGAGTGCTTGGTCCAGAGGTTTAGGATTTTCATCTGGAAGAAGGCTTCTTCCAGGGATCAATTATAATGAGCAGAAATGGAGGATCCAGATACACCCGTGCCCCATCCTGTTTTGGCCCAGGTAAATTTGTGTATGAAGGATTCTGATTTGAAACCCTAATTCTTGTCCACCTTCTGCATTTTCCATATGGATGATGGAGGCCCCACAGGTTAAACAGAAGAGCTGGGACATGGACCCTGCCCCTGACTGCCAATGGGGGTCTTTCTGCTGCCCCATACTCAAAAGTAATATACTCTAAGCCTAACACCCCAGGGGCTCCAGGGAAAGGGCGCTGGGCTCCAGGCTCCTGGTGGTTCATGACACCCAAAAAGGCTTCAGCGAGGAGGCACATACTTAACAACCTCAATCCTGAACCTGTGGATATGCAGCCGCCTGGCCGCCAGGAATGGCTGCATGGTGTGCGCCCTGGGAGTGGCCAGGCTGGCTCCTTCCCCATCCTCTGCTCCTGGGATGACCTGGGCAGAGATCTGTCGTAGCCGCCAGGAGGTGCTGACGAACGTGGCCGGCAGACAGAAAGGAAGAATCCCATTACCTAGCGATCCTGGGCTCCCAGCTTTACCTTGAGGGGAACCTGATACTGGAGGCAGAATATTCCCAACTTCCAATGTCCAGAGCTTCCGAGGGTGCGTCGGGCTACGGCACTTCATGTGACACTCCAGAGAACTGAGGCACAGACGGACGCTGGCATTTTATTGTGTATTCAAGTCATTTATTCGTTTTAAGACTTAAGATTTCCCGCAGTATATAATGTATATAATAACCACACAGAATGCACCGATGTAAACAGATATGTGATTTATTAATGTTTGTCAATAAATAGAATTTCTCAATAAAAAAACACACAAGTCTGTGGGCTCCTGTTTTTCCCAGAACATATTCCTGGGAACTGCATCAAAAAAGTCTATCATCATCAAGGCATGGGTTCTTCCCATAGAAACAAATCCGACTCAAGGAATCCAGTACCTTCCAAGTTTCAGTTTCAAATAAACCATAAGTATAACTTATAATTTCCTAAGACCAAAGATACAGCCATCATTAAAATGTGTGATCATTTATAATTATTTAATTAAGTCCCATGTTCAATATAGGGAGGGCATTCATGTAATTTACATGCCAATTACAAGGAGACTCAATGCACTGTGACCCATACATGTGGCCTCACTTGTAATTCGACTTTATTAAAAATGTAAACAAAATTAAGGTGCTAGCAAAATAACATTAAATTATAATTAGTAATCATTTACACAGGCTATCTATAGCAAAAATCTCAAAAGATATCTGGTTCTTAAAGGGGGAAGGAATTGGGGGTAACTGTAATACTGTCAACAATTAAAAAGTTATCTGGTTCAGTATCTTAGCAGATTCTTTATGTAACATAATTGTCAGCTGCTCATTCACAGTCTGGTCCATGTTTGAGGGTTTTTGGTTTTTTTTTTCCACAGAATTTATATATATAATTTTAATGACCCTTTTCCTCCAAATAAATGTTTTCAAGGCAGAGGCCTTTGAATTTATTCCATGTGACTTCGAAGTTACTTAAAGTTAGGCCTATTCTTACCAAATTAGCCCCCATCTCTCTCCAACCATTCCTTTATTTTGAGAACAACAAAACCCCAATAAATACAGGGTTTGTGATGCATGAACCTTTAACGTTGTGTGGGTTGCAAAACCTGGAGTAACCGAATGAGGAAGGGTGGCTTTGGAAGAATGGACCCCCAAAAGGCGCTCCCTTGGCATTGTTTTTCAATACAGAGGGCTCATTCTCTAAATCGGTTCATCTCTTGGTGAAGAAGTTCTGAGTCCTGGGGAGCGCAGGGACATCCAAAGTAACAATCAACATACAGACTGGCATTTTATGATTCGCAGGATGTTTTCACAAACATCGTTTATCGCCACAACAACTGTGTGATGTAGGCAGGAGAGAGTCTCTCCGAGTCCAGAGAGGTCGGCTCTTAGTTCAGGGTCACACAGGAAGTCAGCCACTGACTCATGTGCATGTGCTCCGGGAGGCGGTGGGCAGCGTGGTGGCGTCAGAGCAGACAGCTGGGGTCTGACGGCCAGGTTCTTGGCCCTGGGGCTCAGAACCTTACTGTTCCCTCCTTTGTGTTAGAAAAGGACCATCCTTGAAACGGTCCTGAGTCCCAAATCTAGTAAAGGCAGATGACAGTGACTTGAAAAAGCAAAGGAGGCTGGTCTAGCCAGTCCAGGTGCAAGGTAGGACTTAATAAACTTTCTTCACGTGTGATGAGAATAGATTCCCAACCGAATCTGCTCCATGGACCAGCGAGAGGCCCTGCCTCCCACGGAGCATCTCAGCATGGGGCAGTATTTCGCCACAACACTCAGGAGTTCCAAAGGACACTTCTCTTGAGAGGTTTTCCCCTCCCCTAAGGCATGACTTTCTCCCCAGTAAAATGAAGTCTTCACAGGACAGATTTCTTTCTTTCTTTTTTTTGCATTTGGATGGTTTGGGGGCAATTTCCTCTTCCTCATTCCAAAGTCTTTCCTGTCCGGTTCAATTCCAGGACTAAAGTAAAAAATCAACAGGAATGGTAACTGACTCTTCTTAAGCAGCGGGAACAGAGTGTGACAAAGTCCTGAGATGCTATCAAATCACAGCCAAGATCAACGTTCAAACCCCCCATGGCTCTGGGGCGTGATGGCGTTTACTTCTTTGTGACATTCACTCCGAGGCAGTTCACTCCATGGATGGCTTGGAATGAAAGACATTCAGGTGAATCTGAAGGGCAAAGCTGCAAGGTCAAGGGGCTAGAAGACCCAAAGCTAGTTCCTTTGAAACAGACAAAAGGCCTGCCGGCCATGGCTTTTCGAGGTAGCAGATGACTATAGCTGCATCCTGTTGTCCTAGAAACGGAGAGGAATCTTAGAGATCCCCTAGTCCAAGCTTCAACTGACAGACGTGGAAAGTGATGGAAGGGTTGGATCAAGATCTCACAGCCTATTAGGAGCAGAGCCTGGGCTGGAATCCAGGTCCTCAGACTTCAAGTCAAGCACTGTTTTTGCGCCCCTGGCACTGCTTGGTCCTGCCTCCTCCACAGGGGACTGCAGTTTGTGACAGGTCTCAGCAGTATGAGCTCCCAACAGTCTCCCCTTTGAAAGCAACACGGCCAGAATCCAGGGTTACAAATTGCTGTCCTGGGCCTCACCACAAGCTCCCAGGAAAGATTCCAAAGTCTTTTAATAAACACTACGATGCAGGGGCCCTGCCCAAGGCCCCTTAGGACAAGATGCTGCTCTAGTTGTAGAGCAAGGCGGGCATCTCGAAGCAGAAGGGGCTGAGGCCACGGCTCTGGGGAAAGCTGTCTGTCTTCGGCTTCCCTCCAAGGTTGCTGCGGAGACTGTGTTCCTCGGGTCGATCTCTGCCCCAGTTTCTTCCATGGGAAATAAATGGAGCATGTCCTGGAGAGAAGGACTGACACCAGACATAAGGAAGAGCAGATGAAGTCTGCGACTGACATGGGGACTGGCCGGGAGGCCACACATTCGGACCCGGGGCCCGGGAGGAAAGTGTGGTAGTGTCTGGCACAGAACAGGGTGAGATGAGACAGTGAGTAGTTTGAACAAGCGAGCATTGTGTGCTTTTGAACACGAACGACTCTGACCGACAGGCACGAGGGGGGGGTGGAGGGGGAGTTGTGACAACATTGGTCTGTGAGCAGGCAGAGCCAAGAAGGCATATTTAGCGACACCTATGGCTGAGATAGGACACAGTGAGCGATCGTGTCTGGAACATGAGTGGGACCGACCAGGCACAGTAAAGGGACAGACTGGCGACAAGAGACACTGTGCAGCAAGGGCGAATGCCAGGAAGGAGTTGGGAAATGAAAAATCCCTTCATAGGGGCATCTCTGGAGGAGGACCCCCAGTGAACAGGGGGGCCATCCTCTCCTCTGACTCCCGCCAACGCTGCCTGCTGGAATCCCGGAGGAAAAGCCCGGTGGGCATGGGGTGCCTGCCCCGACGGACGGACAGATGGAACGCTCGGATGAAGAGGACACCAGGCGCAGTCACGCACGAGCAGCAGCTTAGGACCTGGCCCTGCTCGGAGGGATGGCTGTCTTCTGAGTCACTGCCCAGGGACTAAGTGTCACTGGGCTGAGCAGCCATCAAAGGAGAAGTTGCTGGGGGGAGGCACTGACTCTCCCATTGGACACCACATTCCACTGCGTCCCTGGAGAGGGGAGAAGACCACAGAACCTCGGAGTTGGAATGGACGCCACAGAGGACCTCGGGAAAGGGCCCCCTCCCCCAGTGCAGGAAAGCCCCCACGCCACGCAGATGCGTGGTTCGTCAGCCCCTAAGGAGGAATCCCCAGTGCCTGGCCAGGACACATTATTTTTGAGCAACTTTAGTGAAAGAGCCTGTTGGTGTTATTAGCCCAAATCTGTCTTCCTAGTGGAACTACTGTGCCCGCCAGGCCCACTTAAAATTCTTCCCTCTACTAATTATAGCCTCCAAGTTTTCTCTCTCCGGGCTACACTTGTCTCTAATGGTTCATCGTATATTTTGGCTTCCAGAACAGTCCCGAGGATGAACACTGTCCTCTGAACACAACCCGTATTTTATGATTATCTCTCTTGAAACAAGGTGCCAGGAAAGAGCACAGATGGACACAGTGAGCAGGACACACCATGCACTTTCCATCGTCGGTTTAGTTAACTTCCATGACTGTGGCCGGCAGTGAGCTCATTTCTGACTATGGCAATAAGCTCTTGGCTTATATTGATTTTATTGCCAACTTGCATGTCTTTGATACAAACAGTTGTCCATTCCAGTGGTTCTTTATTACATGGGAGCAGTTGATGTAGTTTGTTTGTTTGAGCCAGAATATAGGACATTACATGTGTCTCCGTTAAATGTCATGTTATCGATCTGGTATCATTTTAAGCTGACTGAGATCATTCTAAATCATAACAATTTCAACATTCAAGATGTGATTATTTACCACCAACTCAAACTAGACTTTGAGGACTTAACAAGCACATAGGAAGGTCAGATAATTTATTGCTGCCTAGATCTTTCAGTTTAGTGTCATCTGCCTTTTACATCAAGATAAAACAACTATTGATCAGGACAGGGCGAACACAGAGAGTCGCAGTGCGCTACGACAGGTGAGACTGGGCCTGCCTATGCAAGGCTTTGTCCAATACCTGGCCGAAGCATCTCTAATGCCAAGCAGTAAATAAACCTGTCCTAATAGAGAATGAAATTAGTTGGCATGATTTATTTTTAATGAAATAGCACTGACTCTTGCTCACAAATGGTTTGTATTATAATTGTTCTAGAATTTTGGTAAGGTCCATTTCAAGCTAAGAGCCCGCAGTTTCCTGAGTCCAGCTTTTAGTGTGCCTTTAACAACTTGGTCAATATTTACTGGTCTCCAGGCTGTCCTCATTTCCCCAGTCCTCAACAGAGCACCAGCCAGAGGTCCGATCCACCGCTCTCTTTAATCCCCTGAGATATAATACGCTTTGGCTCAGAGACAGTTAAATGTTTTCCACCAATCCTGGACAGCAACTTTCTCCTCATAATGTTCTCTCACACCCAGTTGGGAGACTATTCTTATTGTAGCAGGATATGTAAGGTTTCTTCCCTAAATCATGAGATCTAACTAGTTCTGGGTTGGCTATTTGCTCGGAACATAGCTTTTGATTCATCCTTGGTTACACATTTCCTCTTCCAGATTTTCCACGTGCCATTTTCAAGTATACATTCACTACATTCACTAGATCAGTGGTTCTCAACCTTCTGGTCCTTTAAATACAGTTCCTCATGTTGTGACCCAACCATAAAATTATTTTCGTTGCTACTTCATAACTGTAATGTTGCTACTGTTATGAATCATAATGTAAATATCTGATATGCAGGATGGTGTTAGGCGACCCCTGTGAAAGGGTCATTCGACCGCCAAAGGGGTCGCAACCCACAGGTTCAGAACTACGGCACTAGATAGATACTCAAGATGAGGCCTCATGTCTTTACATAACCCCCCTACACACACACACACACACACCATTTTTATCTGTCTCATTCACTGAAAATATCCTTTAAAAGGAAAACAAAGGATGAATAGAAAGGAAGCAATGAAGGAAGGGTTTCTATTTCTCATTGGCCCAAAATACTTATTTATCATCATCATTATCAACATTAAAACTCCCTCCCATTAGTGCAGTACCTGTGTGTTATGCATTAATTCATGTATTTTATGCCTCTTTAACAGATAAGGAAACTGAGTTTCAGAGTTTAAATAATTTCCCCAAGTTTACTCAATTAATAAATGGCAGGATCTGACCTTATATTTACGTCATTTTTTTATACCAAAGTCTGCTTTTAATTGTCCTGATATATTGTCACTTGTCACCTTGAGAATTACCACTGCTACGTCTCGGGCTCAGGTGCTGCTGTCTCTAACATTTTCTTGTCCCATTATGATGAACTCTAGGGTAAAAGAAACATGTACAGGGCACATATTTTATCTATTCCACCTGTGGGAAGCCTACAGTGTGATATGCCCCCCTCCTTTTCACTGAAACACAGTGTGACTGACATGTTAACACAGCGCCCTCCTGCTAACACCCCTGCCCACTAATGCAGGAACTTCGCCAAGTGCATGGATGTTTCCTGTGATGCAGAACTGGGGAGGCTAGGCGAACAGAAAACCAACCCTGCAGAGGCAGAAGGAAATGAGGGAGGACAGAGTCAGAGGAAAAAACCCAGGTTAATAGACATAGCAAAGACAGGGGAGCGAGGACGGAGGACAAGGCAGGAAGAGCCACAGAGTTGGGTGTACAGAAGGCTCCAGAGCTGTGGGGAGGATGGAGGAGGTCCTTTGAAAAGTGTTTCCAAAAGGTTATATTAGCTGTCTCATGTCGTCTTGGCAGAGATTAAATAAAGGTAGACACAGACAATAGTATGGTCATTACCAGAGGAAAGAGGGTTGGGGGCAAGTAGAAGAGGGTAAAGGGAGGGATAAATGGTGATGGAAGGAGACTTGACTTTGGCAGTGAACATACACTACAATCTACAGATAATGTATTATAGAATTATATACCTGAAATCTATATAATTTTATTAACCAATGTCACCCTAATAAGTTATATAATTTTTTTTAAAAAAAGTTTATGCATGATAAATAAGAAAAATAAATATAACAAAGGCTTTAAAATAGCTACAAAAAAGAAAAGACTGATATTACTGTGGACTTGCTAATGGGTGCCTGGTGTCACTTCTTTTTATTCAGGATACATCAATTTAGCCTTTGCCAAAGAGAGGAGTCATGGGGAAAGAAGGACAATAGCCCAGCCTCTAACCCCACAGAGAACTCACAACCAACTCCCTCTGGACAGGGCAAATGGGGACTTGAGAATAATGACACTGTGATCTTGTGTCCTGGTTGTCCTGTGTCATTCTCACCTTACCCTAATGTACCAATCTAATTGATAACACAACAGTTTAATGCCATCTGCCTTTTACATCTGCATTCAAGATACAAAATTATGGCCCAAAATGCTGCACTCCAAGAGACCAACTTCCAGTACAACAGATCACACTCAGTGCATGTGACTTTAAGTGAACCCCTTTCACTTTCAACTGCAAGGTCACTTTACTAACTCAGCCCAGGAAGCAGCTGAATGCAGCAATGTGAGCAGTGAATGGGAGACGGGAACCTAATGCCTCGTTAGCCTCCCCCCATAGGCGACTCTGATGACTTAGTCCCTTTCCTGTGCCTCCCTTGCTCATTTTTTAAATGAGGAGGAGGATTATCTATAAGATCCTTTGCAGCTCTGACATTCTGATTGTGTGAGTAGCAGAGACGGTGGGTGACAGATACAAACCTTCTGATTGGGCACCAGCTGTGTGTGGGACTGTTCTCCAAAGCTGTGGGTAATTGCTTCAAATTTGGCTTTTAATACGCTATTGTTAGTATCTGATACTTTCTATTCTGTGTTGGAGGGAAGAAGTTTCACTGGAAACACAAGGGGGTGTGATTTTTGGATTTGTATTAAAGGATATGAAAGGCCTCCATTTCTGAATCTGTGAAATTACACTGCAAAGCTGTTAAGTGTATCTGGGTAAGAGAGGATAGGGGCTGAGATGCCACAACTTAAAATGCAGCGAGATCACAACTGTCTTTCCTCAAACATATGCTTGATCAGAAACATTGGCAGAGTCGCTCAAAATCCCTGATGTAAAACATCATTACACACTTCTAGGAATATATCCTAAGAAGCCTGAAACACAATCAGAAAGAATATATGCACCCCTATATTCATAGTGGCATTATTTATAATAGTCAAGATCTGTAAACAGCCCAAGTGCCCATCAATAGATAATGGATAAAATACCTGTGGTACATTTACATAATGGAATACCATGCAGCTATATAAAAGAAGGATCTCTTTCCCTTTGAGACAGCCTGGAGGGACCTGGAGAGTACTATGCTAAGTGAAATAAGCCAGTCATAAAAGGTTAAGTATCACATGATCTCACTTATATGTGGAATCTAAGTAACAAATAAACTGACAAACAAAATAGACATTGATGCATACAACACACTGACATATTTCAGAGGGAAGGGGGGGACAGGAAGAGTTTAAACAAAGAACTTATATGCATATATGCATAACCCATGGACACAGACAATAGTGTGGTGAAGGCCTAGGGAGGGGTAGGGTGGGGTGGAGGGGGTAAATGGGGGAGGGGTAAATGGGACAGCTGTAATATTTTCAATGATAAAGATAAAATTTAAAAACATCATTAAAAAGAATCTCCAATATTTTAACAAAAGTATTTTTAAGTACAGTTCTTGTTTTCATAGTTTTGTAAAAATCCTCTACAATTTATGAAGTATTTGTATACCTTTTCCCATATTTAATCTTCAACACAAATCTGCAAGGGAAGGAGGATACAGAGTATTTTAATTTAGAAGAGGAAGTAGGTCAATGTATGTGGCCTGGATTGAATGATAGGGAGTGATGGGTCCATTGCTATAAATCAGGCATTCTGCCTCCCAAACCTGGAATTCTGTCCATTAGGAAATCATTTTGGGGGTGGGAAGAGTTTTGTGATGAAGTTTAATAGTTGATGAAATCAACTTATCATTACCTGTGTTCCAGAAGAAGAAGAAGGAGAAGGAGGAGGAGTTGGAGGGAAAGAATCACCAGCTAAGTA